TGTTCCACCGATCGTATGAGCAGTCTTCGTCTGGACGAGAAATGCCCGCTGGCTACTGACCCATGTAATGTCAACAGCGGAAGTCAAGACAGTTGATATCTCGTTCATCCGATGGCCACTGATCGCTTCAGTGGGGTGTTCCGATCTCTAGCTAGCATGTAGAACAATGATGTGATCCCTGAGTTTTGCGCAACGCGTGAGCCTAATGAGTCCATCTAGAGTTGAACGAGACATACGGTTAAATTGGAGAGTTAGGAAGGAACTGGCTCAGAGAGGCAAATCGGATAGCTAATCAGGCACTAGTCAATTCCGGTTAACGACCCAATCAGGTTACTTTCATAGAACACACCGAGGGCTGTCTTCCGTTTATGTGGCTCCACAGATTGGTTGACAATATTCGGGTTTTCTTTTATCGTGTGTTGATTCGACAAAACTTTATAAGGACCACTAGATGAATTCGTCTGGTCAATAACCTGTCCTTGCATAATGGGATGGTCGAACCGTTCCAGGCATATGCAGAGCTCAAATAGCTAGAACATTGCGGCTGGTCTGAAACTCGTGTCCATGTGGTCGGCCACAACGGTAGTGGTTAAAAATGGCTCACCTGAACCAGCGCGGTTGTTTTGTGGAGTATTGCTACACCCACTTCCCGTACTGATAGTTTCTTCCGCTGATGCCTCACAATGTGATGTGGAGATGCTGTTGACGTTTCACACGGTTTTTATATCGGATGTCAATCCGAAAGCGCCTCAGTATCGTGGATGACCTTCACGTGAACGATGATAACCGCCATCGGTCAGCAGACGATGTCAGCCGAACAATAGTTCCCGACCCACCTACTCAGTAAACACAGGTTTTGTGCATGAACCCGAGTGTATATCATTTGCAAAAACCGATCATCAGTAGAGAGCCGTACATCAACCTTGCAGGATTCAAGGTAGGGCAGTATAAATGAAACACGACAGACCAGTTAGGAAGTCGTAAGGGAAGTAGCAGTCTTTGTGAAGCAAAAACAAAGTGGGAGAAAATACGTGACATTTATTTTTGGTAAAAGCTAGAAAATGAACTCATTTTTGGGAAGCGACCTCCACTAACAAGACCGATGTAGCAAAATCCACCCACACGGCGTGCCTTTCCATTTGTAAGCTACGTACTAATTCTCGTTTCAGACTTCTGTGACTGCAACTGGTTGCATGTTGGTCCAATTGCTTTTCCATGTTGACATACTTCAGTACTGATTATCCGGTACGCTGCCATGGAAACCAGACATATTGTAGTATTTGCTCCTTTGCACAAAGCCAATTTTTCTATGATTACTCTTTTAGTCGACAAACTTTAAGGAACAGTGGTTTACTTTAAAATGTCGCGCCGTTTCATCACCGAAGGCCTTGCGAAGTGTCAGAACAATGGGTTATATCATCAAAATACTGTATATTCTTTTACGCCAATTAACCTACTATTGGGTGTGAAAATTAATGCACAATCCTGTTTCTGAGTGTTACACGTGGTGTGATTGCGGGCACGAACGTACGTGTCAAAGTTATCCGGGTTTGGTGTGCGATGTAGGGCGATTTTTCACAGGCGCTTAAACGTTCCCAGAGAGGTTCCACATCGGGGACATCTGTGGTTGACATCTTGGCAACTTCCAATGAAACAGGGGATCAGAAAACATCCAAGAACTCCTCTGTGTAAACAGATGTAAAATACAGTATCAGCAGAGTGAGTAAAAGATATCGGCGGGGTTCATGTCATGTGCTGTTTTAAGGAGCTTGGACGACTACGATAACGTAACAATTGGATATTAGCAATGAAATGGCAGTACGGTCAATGCTTCTAGGCGCAATGTTTTGTGGCCCACGATCGCCATAACTAATGTTTTTGCCTATGACCACGCTCTCCAAGCCTAAGGCCATCTGATTCACCTTGAGACCCGACGCACTCCTCCAGGGGGCCAAATCCACTCCAGCCTACACTTTTCTTTGTACCGTAAAATGGGGTAAATTTGGGCCAACATAAAAAACGTAGAACAGATTGCACTCAGTTTTCTTATTTTGTGTGTTGCAAATTCATTTTTCACTAATTTACAATTGTTTTATGATGAACTAGAATATCCAGTCTTGGGTATACTACTTCAAATATGACCGATGTCATGACGTGTTTAATATACAGTATACTTTCATTCGTGAATCATGTTTCTAAGAAAGTGTTAGTACAACCGTCTCTGTTGTCGCTTTGTGAACAAGTTATTGCAAGCATTTTGATGTTATCCAAACACATCATGCATTATGTTACGGTCTTGGTGGCGAATGATACCACAATAAGCTTTGCTATTTTGGGGTAACTTTGGTCAGTTGGTCATGTAATCTTTGAAAGTGGCACCAAATATCAGTAGGGGAGAATTTCGGTGTGGCTCTCTCCCATCCTTGCACTCCTCGATCGAGGGTTTCGTCTTTGTTTAGACTCATCAGGTAGAGATAGCCTAGCTGGGTGGAACTCGGCGCATAGTACTTGGCAGCTATCGCCATGATCACTAGACCATTGAGTTCCGCGAGCAGTGTTTGACTCAGCGGTCCGAAGTTGATTTTCGGGTGCTCCAAAACCTGTCACTCAAATAATCATTGTGATGCTTCTTGATATCTGATCGTCGAGGAGCGAGCGTGCCTAAGCTAGTATGTTTGAGTAATCTGCTATGCCAGGTGTGGAGTTTGATGACACGAGAAGCGTGAAACGGCACGTCTGCAAATAAGCTGACCTAGAAAGTGTTTGGCCACCTGACATAGAAATTGTGTAGTGACACCGTCTACTGAATCTGCTAGTCAACAACAGTTTTTCGTGATGCCGAGAAGCGGTATACGCGTCGCGCTGACCTGGAGGAGTCAGGTGGCTGATGCAATTTTCGATAAGTCAGTCAATGCCCTCTATGACATCCGTTTCTTTGTTCCACAGCGCAGCCACTTTGGCTGAAAAGTGTTGGTTTTCTTGCATAAATGTTTAAATTTTCTTCACGATAACCTTGATGGCGTGTTGAGTGGACAACGATCCACATCAGACTTGTGACTTGGATCTAGGCAGTGGTTTCTTTTCTCATTTGTACACGTGCCCCCAAACACACTTTTCAGTTTGGTCGGTAAACATTATGCCACAGATAACAGACCACCGCTTGAGCCATTTTCAACCTCCACATCTTGTGTTCATATTTAGGTGGATGAAATCCCAAAAATACTTTACTCTGTTGTTCGCTCCGAATGGTACATTCACAACCAACTTATATACATTGGTGAAGATCTTGAGACACAACCGCGTTGAAACTTAACGGCCAGCGCCCCTTGTTCGACCGTGAGGAAATCTTGCATGGCGAAGCCATCAGTGTTTATTGATGTGTGGCGATATATGCCTTGAACCGACGGCATGCAATCGCGGTTCGATCTCATGCGAATCAAATGTCTTCGCGTTCACCCAAGCTGTGTAACCTTCCGACTGCGAGATGAGTTTCTTTGGACCGTAAACGAACGACGCAGCACAGTCATCAACTGTCGAAAGTCCAAAGACCTGCACGATACCTTTCTCCTGACTTACATCATGGTGCACCCCTAAATTCCACCGCAGCGTAACTAGTTCGGATGCTTCTATTTACTCCGAGCGCCTACTTGCTAATTCGAACAGCGCTCATCGCAAGAGCGGTAATCATTTTTTATTGTAAATTAATGACTACTTAGCTCTATTGGGGCCATCCGTGGTTGATAACATTGATATCCTACTGTTTTACCTTAAACAGTCGGTTATTTCTAAGAGTTGGGGTGTGCTTCAGGACAGCCAAATGAATTTGCGCAATGATCACGTGGTCTGCCGTTAACAATGACCGTTTACGAAACTATGTCCTCTATCAAGAATGAAGTACACCAGCAAAGTGGTAGCGTGGCCAACTTACCCAAGAACGAAAATTATGATGCACATAATCCAAGTGAAGGCGCCTTTGGTGTACGTGACCTTGGTGACTACTTGTTGACTACAGTGGCCACAGTGAGTAGCCGTCGGTCCGGAACCCAGACGAACCGCCATCGGTGGATGCGCTGTCGGTTGGCTGGATACCACTTTGGAGAAAGAGGAGGTGGAAAAGTACATAAGAGGCATTTTGGTATTACAAACAGCTCCATTTAGAAAGGTGGAAGTGAGGGTTTCGAAATGATTTCCTGTTTTACGTCACCACTCTTCGTGCTGAATTTACTGAAATTTACCCGTGCACCGACGTGAGACAGATTAGATTATCGTGATTATGGTACTATAAAATATATAAATAAATGATTATTTATTTATTCTCGACAAAGCAAGGCACGACTTTTGAGCATGATCAGAGTAATCTAATTGTGTACATAACAGCATAATGAACAGATGCAAAAGCAGGTGTATTACAGATGTAGTCAGTTATGTGATCCCATATGGCCCAAAGAATGAATGAAGTTTATCCTCGAACATATCGAGGCATGCCTCGGCAAAATAACGTAGAGGGGGCTAGGAAAATAACGAGTAAAACTGACGGGTTTCGAATGCCTGTAGTTAGATGTAATAAAATCGAATGCTGAGACCCAATGACAACGTGACAGCGCCATAAGGTAAAATATCTCCGGACACTAATGTGATCAACCCTATGCTTCGATCCAAGAAACGGCACGTACTGGCGTGACAAAGTTTCTCAGTCAATATTTTCATCTTTTTATACAACATCATCGACTGGCCATCTCGAAGTGTCGCTCAGCTGCAGCACCAAACAGCATATGTGGAAAGAAAAATGCTGTGTGAGTAGAAGATCCATGTCTGCGAACCGATTGTATCTGTCAAGCGACTTCTCAACGAACAGGCAACGAATAACTTACCAGATAACCATCGCATGTGCGCTGCATAGACTGTAAGTTCGGAGTGGTAATAACTGATAGATCCTACAATTTGGGAGGCACACCTCTATTGCTATTTCACTAAAGGATACTCTATCATCCATTCATTGTGTGACAGTCACTCTACTCTTTTAACGGACTATCTGATCGGTTTGCATATACCCTGAACTTCGCGCAACATCGTAAGCGGATCATGTGTCAATCTATCGAAAATCGCACTCTTAGATTTCAGTACAATCCGCTATATTATATCACTACAAGAGGATGACGAAGCCAAGCTGGTATCCGGTATGTTAGCATGTTTCCACTACCGCCCTCAGAGTGAACAATGGTTAGTGGGTGATGCTGGTCTTAGAGATTGACGATCAATGTGATTCATAGCAAAACCGGGATGGCCGAGTTGTATGATTGCATTCCTCTCCTCTACAACCAATCAGTATGGCACGAGCAACCAAAGTGTATGGAGTCGGCAAACCGTGGATAACGACAAAGTGCACAATAGGAAGTAGCTGTGATGGTAGCTGAGATCAGGGGCGAATGGATTCATTGCCGTACCGATGTACCGCCGAGCGCGCACTGCTGGTCCGATCCAGCACAAAGGAGAGACAGCGTGCATTCGGACAGTCGAGAAGCGAATTGGTCGACCGTATGACTAGTGGATGGCATACGCTTGAGTCCATGTTATTAACAACGCTCTGCTTTGGCAGATAGCCAATGGGGGGATCATCGATCGGATGGGGGACGGCCAATCAGACGCCACCGGCTATCCTGGTGGGAACGACGAGAACCAACGTAACCCTGGGCTCTGTAAGGGTGGATTGGCCCGTTTGGAGAACGTGCATGAACGAATAGGATGTAACTAACATCACAGGTCAGTTAACAAGGGCCAACCAGTGAATGGACCGTAGCAGAACACTGTGTACTTCATAAATAACTGCGAATCTTCTTAATACTGATTTGTGATCACCGCCCAGACTTCCTCCTTGATTCCCGGAGGGTCACACAACACGGAAACAAACAGAGGAAAAGCCGATGTTTAGAATGCCGCTTTCGACCAACAAAGGGCGAATCACAGCCAATGCTATGGGTCATTAAGTAAGGGAAAATTTCTACTATGACGAGGTGGTAGTTTGTAAAAGGCCATTGTCAAAAGGTGCGTAGTTGGGCCGCGTCTCGGAGTGGCTGACCACTGCTACGTTGTGGGGAGGAATTTTAACCCGCTACCCACAGCCATTCTGCCGGGGTTTGGCGCGTTTTTGCGGGGATTTTTGACGGGCCCGCAACACCGACCCACTTGGATATCCAGTCGATGACCTACCAGTTCGCCATATTCAGGCACGTTGTTGGTGATGAAACCAGCTATGAACAATGAATTTATACGGGTTAAGAAGCGTTGCTTTACATGTCCCGTTGGATACTTGGTGGGGATATCAACATAACAGCAAGGATGATAAGGATAATAAAATAGTTAATAATTGAAGTATGAAAATGAGGACTTATCGTTCGCTCCGCTGTAGTCCTGCGATCCTCTTAGATTCACAGCACCTACAGTTAACAACAAATAATTCCATGGTAAACTCCAGGTGTAGGATGGAGACGTAGTGTTAAGTAACAAAGTGTAAGTGGATGAGTGCATCGTCCAACCTTCTTTTAAATACTGTTATTGTCGGTGTGGAGACGACCGATTCTGGCACAGCATTCCACGGGTGACAGACACGGATGGAAAAGAAACTTCTGAGCCACTCCAGACGACTGTATTGTTCTGCGAGCTTTAATGAGTGGCCCATCAGTTTTGTATTGCTGCTGAGTTGCAGTAAAGGGCAACATAGATGATGTCGGTCTCGCAGAATCAAGTATGCCATAATCAGGTCACCTCGTAGTCTACGATAGCAGTATCGGGAACGCTATGGTTCAGCGACGCGAGTCAGGAGGCTGAAATTCCGGAGGTGCAGAAGTGGTTCGGCGAGTTTTGTGACAGAGCAGCGAGCAAAACGTACCAGAGGTATTTATTTTTGGCTGCAGTCGGTCGCCTAGTGAGTCGTTCGAGACTTGTATTACTGAACTGAAGCTTTTGGCGCGTATCTGCGATTTTGCATTTGCATGTAGGAATCCCTGATGTGTGATTGCATTGTAATCAGCATAAAATATGACGAGCTCAGTCGCTGCGTTCTGAGGCAAAGAAAACTATCTTTGGAACAATGCGCGGATGTTTGCCTTCCTGAAATAAGGACAGACCAGCAGTTTGAACATTTTAGAGCGGAGGCCAGCACCGATCTGCGCGCAGTATCCAGAACCAGCGAAAGTCTGCCCCAGGCACTGAGGGACAAGAAGTGAATTGTCAGTTTTGCTGCCGCATACATCCAAGAAGAAAAAAGAAGTACCCAGCTTGTTGTCGAAGTTGTATGAAATGTTCCAGGAAGAACCATTTTGACCGTTCATGCAGATTCGCGATTCAGTGATCAAGGGCGTCAAGAAACAGATGCAGGAACTTTCGATAAACAATTTGGAAAACCGTGGAGAACATCAGTGTTTTTGCGACACTTGATTCGAGGATGAACCGTGCGCTTTCAACTGGACTCAAAAGCCACTGTCAACATACTACTTGAGAAGTACTATGTGGGTGTGAACGATAAATTTACCGCGCAATTCGCAAGATGGATAACGCGATTTAACTCTGGGCTCCTACCAATTATTTGTTTACCCACACATTATCGTTAACCGAATCCGCTAATCCTGTAGTTTTTCCGACCGGAAACGTGTCTGTTGTCTTGCGCGATAAGTTTTTATACGAGCTGCAGCGTCTCCTCAGTTTGGGTGTGATAGCCAAGATTGATGGGCCGACCGATTGGGTTAGCCAGGTAGCGATTGTCACTAAGAAACCCAGAGATCTACGCGTGTGCATTGGTCTGAAACCACTAAACACCGTGCTCAGGAGGGAGCATTATACGCTACCGAGACTAGACGACGTATTTCCGGCATTACCTTGCAGAACAGTTCTTCAGGGACATGCGTTTACTCGGCAAAGACAGCTCAGCGGAAATTACAGCATGTTTAGCAAGCCAAACTCCTCGATATAAATTGTGGGTCCAAGTCTATAACTAACAAACCTTCTGTGTCGATGAGTTCCTCTTTTGCCTCAGTTAAACGAACGTTGAAGCACTCACACGAATATCGGCCAACCCGCGTCCGGTAATCGAATCCGCCACGTCCGCTCCCACTGGCTGTCTGGCTCGCTCGGTTGGTCCATCTGCTCAGTTTGATCTGATAATAGCATCACATTACCCAAGTCCAGGATATTCACAAAGGTTGACCTGGCTTCAGCGGTTTGGCTGGCATCACTTGACCGGTAACGTGTTAGTCTCGCATTCGAGCACTCTTAGATTTTCGTTGTTACTCTGCCAAATTTGTCGCACACCATGGGGTCTATACTTAATCGTCTTGCTTTTACAAACTCTACCTCTTGATACCATTTTCACGAGAAGACTACAAGTGCATCCGACATTTACCCTGACTTACAAATTTGGGGTCTAATGATTCGTAATATTCGCTCAGTTGGCACGATGCCTAATGTGCCTCGGTCTAAAGACAAATCTGGATGGTGTGCCAAACTTGTCAAAGGGAGTATTCCGTGTTCCAACGGCCGTAAGATTTTCAATGGGAAATACGTCAGTGAAAGCTTATCAGAATACACTGTTAGACAGTAAACCGGATTCTCTCTGGCTCTGCGTGAGATGCACGTTTATCGCACTGAGGAAAAGCGTTCTCCTACCATCTCCGAAGTATGACCAAATCTGAGGAAATAGTGACCACAAAAATCCACATTTGGGGTTAGCATAGCGGACTGTGCAACCGGTGGCTCCCCAATTAGTGCTACTCCAATCCTGAAGAGAATGGCTAGTAACACCGTAAACAGAACGACACTACTAGCCCAGAAAATCAACTGCTATTCCAATAACACAAGCTGCTCACATTATATTAATGCGGTTCTTAGTTCGATCGAAGTAACTACAAGCAAAGCTTCGTCCAATCTCCAGCCCGAGTGCATAGCAAGAAAGTAAGCCAATACGAGTGGAAGTTGGGTTACGCTTACTGTCAGGAAGGGCCTACATTTAAAATCAGCAGCGCCGTCCACTGGATCTGAAAGTGAGGAGCGAAGTCGTGTTCTCCTGATGCAAGCACCATCAGTTTCCTGCGGTACATCACCGAGTATGTCAAGCACTACCATGACATGTCGCAATATAC